TGAAGGTCACAATACCATGAGTCCCAACAGACCAAATCAAATAGGCAAGGCAAGAAACTAAAAGGAGAGGGGAGAAAAAGTAAAAGGAGTCAACAAAAGGAAAATAACATGACAAGAATAAGTCAGAACATATCAGTTATAACCATCAATGTTAATGGCCCCAATTCACCAATCAAGAGAAATAGACTGGCAGAATGGATTAAGAAGCAAAATCCAACAATATGTTGTATACAAGAAACACACCTAGTGTAAAAGGAAGCCCATAGACTGAAAGTGAAAAGATGGAAAACAATTCTCCACATGACAGGAGCCCAGAAAAAAGCAGGGGTAGCAATCTTATTTGCAGATAAAGTAAATTTCAAACCAAAACTCATTAAGAGAGACAAAGAAGGACACTATATCCTTGTAAAGGGAACAATTCAAGAGGAAGAGCTGACAATCATAAACATATATGCACCAACTATAAATGCTCCCAACTATATAAAACAAATATTAAGTAACATGAAAAACCAAATAAGCACTAATACAATTTTAGTGGGGGATTTAAATACCCCACTATCACAAATTGACAGATCATCTAGGCAGAAAATCAACAATGAAATAATAGAACTGAATCAAGCTTTGGAACACATGGACTTAATAGATGTCTACAGAGTATTCCACCCCATAAAATCAGAATATACATTCCTTTCAGCTGCACATGGATCATTCTCAAAGATAGACCACATATTGGCTCAAGGAACAGGTCTGAATAAATGCAAAATAATTGAAATCGTCCCCTGTATATTATCAGATCATAGTGCAATCAAGCTGGAGATCAATAGCACAAGAAACTGTAGGAACTTCACAAGCACATGGAAACTGAACAACACTGTCCTGAACAATCAATGGATTACAGAGGAAATTAAAGAAGAAATTAGACAGTTTTTTACAAATAAATGAAAATGCTAATACAACAACAGGAATCTATGGGACACAATGAAAGCAGTTCTACAGGGAAAATTCATAACATTGAATGCCCACACTAGGAAAACAGAGTGAGCTCAAATAAACAACCTAATGATGAATCTTAAGACTCCTAGAAAAACAAACAAACAAACAAAACCCCAAAGCTCGAACAAGAGAGGAAATTATAGAGATTCGAGCAGAAATCAATGTAATGGAAACTAAGAAAATGATACAAAAAATGAATGAAGCAAAGAGTTGGTGTTTTGAAAGAATAAATAAAATTGACAAACCCTTAGCTAATCTTATCAAAAAAGAAAAGAAAAGGCTCAGATCCACGCAATCAGGAATGAAAAAGGCAAAGTCACAACAGATCCAATAGAAATCCAGAGGATCATTAATACCTACTTTGACAACCTGTACTCTAATAAATTGGAAAACACAGAAGAAATCAACAGATTTTTAGATACTTATGAATTACCAAAGTTGAACAAAGTAGATAAAAACATTTTAAGCACCCTGATTATAATCAGTGAAATTGAAAATGTAATTAAAAATTTACCAACAAAGAAAAGCCCAGGCCCTGATGGATTCACTGCTGAATTTTACAAGACATTTAGAGAAGAACTACTGCCATTACTCTTCAAACTTTTCAATGAAATTGAAAGGGAAGCTATACTTCCAAATTCATTCCTGGAAGCAAGTATCACTTTGATTCCCAAACCAGGGAAAGATGCAACTAAAAAAGAGAACTACAGACCAATCTCCTTAATGAATATAGATGCAAAAATCCTTAATAAGATACTGGCAAACATAATACAGAGGATTATCAAGAAGATCATCCACCCTGACCAAGTCGGATTTATTCCAGGGATGCAAGGGTGGTTCAACATACAAAAGTCAAGAACCATATAATCCTCTAAATAGATGCAGAAAAAGCATTTGATAAAATTCAACACCCATTCATGATAAAAACCCTGCAAAAAAATTGGAATGGATGGTCTATACCTCAACTTAATAAAGGCTATCTATGAAAAACTAATAGCCAACATCATATTAAATGGCCAAAAACTGAAAACCTTCATGCTAAAATCAGGAACAAGGCAAGGATGCCCACTATCACCACTCCTCTTTGATATAGTTCTGGAAACATTAGCCACAGCAATTAGACAAGAGAAAGAAATTAGAGCAATAAAGATAGGAAAGGGAGAAGTTCAACTGTCATTATTTGCAGATGATGTGATACTCTACATTGAAGACCCAAAAAACTCCACCAAAAGACTTCTAGACTTAATTGACAGATTCAGTAGAGTAGCTGGATACAAGGTGAACACCCAAAAATCAATAGCCTTCTTGTACACAAGTAACAGACTCACTGAGAGAGAAATAAGGGAAACAATTCCTTTTACAATAGCATCCAAAAAAATGAAGTATCTAGGAATCAATCTAACAAGAGAAGCAAAAGATCTCTACACTGAAAACTATAGCACTCTGAAAAAAGAAATTGAAGAGGATATAAAAAAATGGAAAGATATCCCCTGCTCCTAGGTATGAAGAATCAACATAGTGAAAGTAGCCATACTACCAAAACTGCTATACAGATTCAATGCAATGCTAAATGAAATTCCAGCACTATATTTCACATAACTAGAAAAATCCAAAAATTCATTTGGAACCATAAGAGACCTAGAATAGCAAAAGCCATCCTAGGCAACAGACACATGGCAGTGGGTATAACAATTCCCAATTGGAAACTATACTACAAAGCCACTGTGATAAAAACAGCATGGTACTGACAAAAAAAAACAGGCCTGAGGATCAGAGGAACAGATTGGAAGACACAAAAACAAATCCAGATATACTCAGCTACCTCATCTTTGACAAAGGAGCTGACCATCCTCAGTGGAGGAAAGATAGCCTCTTTAGTAAATGGTGTTGGAAAAACTGGATTTCAACCTGCCACAGATTAAAACTGGACCCTTATCTTTCACCATACACTAAATTAAAATCCAAGTGGATGAAAGATCTAAATATTAAAACAGAAACACTAAACTTGCCGAAAGATAAGTTAGGCAGAACTCTGGAAGACATTGGCATAGGAAAAGACTTTGTGAACAAATCCTCAGTAGCGCGGGAACTAGCAGAAAGAATCAACACCTGGGATCTCATCTTATTAAAAAGCTTCTGTACTGCAAAAGAAACCATCAGCAGAACTAAGGGACGACTTACAATGTGGGAAAACCAGCATGAATTTAAAGCAAAAGGAATGGATATGTTGAGTGTAGACACCATGAGAGCTCTAAAACAAAAGGTAGAACAGAAAGGAAAAGGATTTTGGAGCAATCCATCGTATGGATTGATTCTCATTTCTAAACACTTGTACGTTAATATCCATAACCAACACAAGCAAGAAATTTTGTAACCTTTTCTGTTAACAAACAAAAGGTCCTAATGGTCACAAGTGAGGTGGCCCTCGTCGGTGTGGCCAGCTCTGCATTGGTCCTTGGTTCTGTGACATCACAGGAGCAGTTTGCTATATAAGGCTGTGGCTCAGGTGGGTCTGTTGTGGGTGGAAGGAGACTGTTTGAGAGAGAGTTGGGTGGAGATTGCTGTTGAAAATTTGGTAATTGATTTGGTGCTATGGGATGTGTAGGTCGTCCTGACACTGTGCCAAGCAGTGTTCCTGGTGAGTGTAGTGAGGGAACATCCTGGCTGGGCCTCATTGACCAAGGCAGCTTTGGCAAGGTGTTCTTAGGGCAACACCGTGGCACACGCAAGCAGGTCGCCATGAAGGAGTTGACAAAGGCAGAGGGGCAAGCGGCCTACATTACGATGGAGGTTGCGATACCGAAGGACCTTTGACACTCTAACATCACACAGTTGCTGGAGGTAACAGAAACTAAGGACAAAAGTACACCTGGTTCTAGAATATGTGATGGGGCTCAACCTGGGGCAAGAGATCTTCCAGACCGAAAGGCAGAGGCTGCGGGAGAAGGACACCTGGAGGATTTTCCGAGACATCTTGGGAACGGTGGATTATTGCCACCAGCAAGGAAATGTACATGGGGACCTCAAGCCCAAAAATGTTTTGATTGACACCCAAGGCCATGCTAAAGTATGCGACTTTGGGTTTGGGTTCCGGTTCCTCCCCGGCAGGAGGTGACTGCGCCTGGTGGCACGCCAGCGTACTTTGTCCCAGAAAGAGTCTTGTATCGGACATATGAAGGCCCTCCCCTGGATGTCTGGACCCTCGGAGTTATATTATATGAGATGATTACTGGGACACATCTCTTTTGTGGAGATCCACCAGAGATAAATGATAGTCTCACTTATGGGACTCTCTTACCTGGACTTCATCTCCATGAATACCAAATACTTCATTGGAAAGCTCATGAAATGGAACCCCAAAATTTGACCAACAGCACAGCAGGTGCTGCAGCACTGGTGGCTCCAGGGTGTCTGGCCCCTCAGTCCTCCTGGGCTGCTCCCTGTGTCCGCAAAGAGGGCAATTCTAAGCCATATGGCTGGGATGGGTTTTGACCCACTAACGGTGATGGACAGACACCCTGAGGAGGAAGGAGTATAATCATGAGATGACAACCTTCCTGTTGCTGCAGAGCCAGGCCCTCCAGGGGCTGGGCTTCAGAAACCCAGTGAAGACTTGCATGCTGCTGCAGAGAAAACATCACGGTGCCTGACAAGTCTGCACTCTCACCTCACATCCTCAGGATGGCCAGCGAGCCTGCCCCCTGCACTGGCCGTTTATTCCCTGGACTGAAGCCCCGAGGAGAACAGGTTGGCAGAGCCTCCCAGCCACCCATAACCATCCAGAGGACCCCAACTCCCAGTGTATCCCTGCAGCCTGGCCCTGCCGCTCCCAGCCTGGCCCTGCCATGCCCAGCATGTCCCACCAGCCAGGCCTTGGAGCTCCCCACTCTCGCTCCAGAACCACCTCTGCCCCTGCCAGCAGTGGGCAATCTATACTGGAAGGCTCTCAAGAGGAGCATCACAGGCTGCCTACGGGCCCTGTGCTGCTGCTGCCTGCCACCCTGCGGGCACTGCCAACACAAGGTGGCCCCAATCAAAAAGCCATGAGAGCAACTCTGTGGGCATGGACATCCTACCCATGGCAGACCAGCCACATGGGAGGAAGCCACGGAGCCACAGAGGAGTTGCCGGAAGGACAGTGAGCCCAGGTGAAGAGAGGCAGCCCTGCCTGTTCTGAGGACTGGGACACTGCTGTTCCCCTGGCCACCATGTAGAAGCCTAGACTCGGCCGTGCTGTGAGCAGCCCAGGAGTATGCAGAGGCCACACTGATCCTCTGCCCCCTGATTGCACGATGGGAGCCACCTCAGCCCAGTCACCAAAGAGGTGTGTGGCAGCATCTCTATATCATCCCAGTGCCAGCCACGGAGCATCCTGGCCCAGAGGTCAGCACAGCTGAGTACTGAGGACCAGGGCCATGCCTCAGCCCAAGTGGACCTGGCCTACGGCCTGAGCCCCATAGCTAACATCTCTGTGGCCTCTCTGCCTCCTCCTCAGTCATCCAGGATACAGTCTACCCCAGCCCAATGCAGTCTGCTTCCAGGGTGTCTCAAACTCAGCCTGTCTTTTCCCCATGCGCCATCAGCACTGTAGAGCAGATTTATTCATGGCACGGATGTTGGGGACACTCAGCGCCAAGGGCAGAGGTGCGGGCATTATAGACACCAGAGGTGCGGGGCCAATGCAGAGGGCTTTGAAGGTGAGAGCAGGAAGGGGATTCAGGAGCAGAACACGGACACAGTCAAGGGATCAAATGAGCCAGCCTCTGCCCCAGAGCAGCCGGCTGAGGACTGATTTGGTGACAGCCCCGGGGACAGCGCTGCCGTGTGGCCAGCACAGTCAGCAGAGCTTCAGCGTAGTGACCCATGTGATTCTCTGAGAGTGCTTGGTGCCCAGTGCTGCTCTTCCTCTTCCTGCTGTCAGGATCACTGGGATTTTATACAGGAGGAGGAGGAGACCCCTCACCTCATATCACTTTTATTGTAGCACATCACCAACACCCCTTTGTCTGAGGGGCTGGCGCTAATGTGCCAGATTTCACCCGCTTGGTGGAGGAGGACGTTCTTATTTATAAAGTTGTTTTCATCCTCAAAAAAAAAAAATACAAAAGACATCAATTAGCAACCTTTCCCAATGGACCTGGAAGAACTAGGGGACTCCAGAGAAAGCCAAGCATGTGCTGCACAGTCTGCCCGTTCTTTGCCGATTGTGAAGGATTTTGCTTTGTTGTATGTAACATATGCTGCTTCTAGAAAACTCTTCCTGAATGCTCAGGAATTTTGGGGGGCAGCACCCATAGAACATCAAGGAAACAAGCCTGCTATAACTGTCATACAGAGAGTTTTCCAGGTTGTTCAGTTTTTACATGAAGAAGGGAAGTGATGGGGAGCAAGTCAAACCCACAGTGAGTTTGCTGCAGATGACACTGAGATGGCACTGTGCTGCTCTATGTGGATCTAGAACGTTTCCCAAAGACTCGTACGTTAAAGGCTTGGTCCTCAGCTTGGCGCTGTTGGAAGGTGGTGGAACCTTTAAGATGTGGGAATTAGTGGGGGGGTTATGTCATTGGGTGCATCCCCTTAAAAGGGACTGTGGGATGCTGGGTTCTTCCTCTCTGTTTCCTTTCTAGCCACCATAAAGTGAGCCGCTTGCTCTACCACATGCTCCCCTCTATGATGTGTTCCCTCTATGATGTCTTCCCTCAACATAGGTCCAAATGCAAGAGGGCCTACTTACTGCTCATTGATTGAAACCTCTGAACTGTAAGTCAAAATAAACCTTTCCTCTCTTTAAGGAGGTTATTCAAGTATTTCTTTTACAATGATGGAAAGCTAACACATTTTTAGCTTTAATATAAAAATGAAGACAAGTAGGAGATAATGGGAGAGCACATGTATGTTCCTTAATGTGACATAAGTGCTCTTTAGCACAGACAGTAACAGTTTTTATTGTCATCATTGAATTCCTTGGCCCCATCTGCCCAACGTTCCTTGATACCATGAGAGAGTATCTAAAGCTTGTGACTTCCACACAAGACACTTAACTACCTTTGGAAGGATTTGTGAAGGTTCTTCTCAACCTTCAAGTGATTCAGTCTTGTTTAACTTTGAGTACAGAACAGAGACCAAATTTATGAAAAGACATTGTTTTCGGTTTTTAAAACATGGGGAAAGGGAATTTAATCATGAAAGGGATAATTCTTCTCATACTTAGGAGCCCTATTTCTTTCTAAAACCTGAAGATATATCTTCTTGATGATCCTCTGTATTCTGTGTGCTAGTATCTTATTCAGGATTTTGCAGCCATAAATAATGAGAAATGAGATTCATTCATAGCAAAATGGATACATATTGACAATATACTCCTAAGTGAAATATATAAATCACACATGTGTAAATACCGAATAGTTTCTCTGGTGTGAAAAACTATAATAGTACATAAGATCCTAATGAGATAATTGACAATGTGAAATAGGAAGAAAGGGGCTAAAGGTGTAGGGAAAGTGGGAAGGGTAGGGGAAAGGTAATAAGGGAAAAGAAAAAAATATGAGAAACTGAAAAAATGGAAATAAAGTATTTGTAAATGGGGAGGGGAGAAGGGGGTGAAGGGAGGGCAGGGACAAGAAGACAAATGAGAAACAAGACCTGTCATGTAAAGGTACAAGATCCCAATAATGAATGTAACTGTACTGTATACCTAAAATGTACCAATAAACTCAATGAGAAAAAAAACTGAAGATAAATAAGAACAAAGTAACCTTGTGATAAATAAAAGGTAAAGCAAGATTTTTTTTTTTTTTGCAAGTTTGTTGTGCATCTGCTTTGGATTATAGATGTGGTTCAGGAAAGTCAGTTCAACTAAAATGATGTGAATGTATCCCTGTGCCACCAGTTCCAAGGTAGGTTCATTCCATGAACTTAATAGCTTAAAATAAGGCAAAATTACTATCCTACAACACAAATTTATTGTGTTACAGTTTTAAAGATCAAAAGTCAAAACATTAGTGTCACTGAGATAAAATTAAGGTTGCTTGATTTTGAAATTCAGAATGTGCTCCCTCCTTGTTGTGTGGCTCTTCCCACATTTTTTAGTTTTCAAATAACTCTCTCTACTCTATCTCTATAGTGCTCTCTCTCTCTCTCTCACTTTTGCTTCTACCATCATATCTTCTATGATTCTCTCTTGCCTCCTTCTTTCACTTATAAGTAGCATCCTTGTGATCCCTGGACCTTCCTCAGAATCCAAGATAATCTCCTCATCCAAAGATCCATAACTTCACAGATGCAAAGTCCCTTTTGCCATGTAAGGTAACACAGTTATGAAATTTTGAGGATTACAATGTGGGCACCTTTGGCAGCCATTGTTTTGTCTATTGTAGAAGTGGCTTATGTATTCTCCCCTTAGTCATAGGACCCAGATATTATTGGTCCCAGTTTATATTTTGCAGTTAAGACTTCTAATGAGACAAGTTAGCATTCAAAGAAGCTGAAGTTAATCAAACAAAAAGCAGGTATGAGCATGTACTTTATCACATTACCAAGAGAATCAAAACAGTATGATAGTAAGTTTGACTTCTTGTCATGCTGAATTCTTTTTTCAGTGCTATGTTATCAGAAAGAGGCAGTATTGTTATAATGTAATTTATATAGTGCATTCCCCTGAGTGATAAACAGAGTATTCCTTAGTATCCTCAGAGAATTAGTCTTTCTATCTCTTTTTATATTAGGTCAGCTACTCTAGCAATATAATATCTGTATGCAATAAATAAACCGGACTCACTAAATTTAAGGATGTTCACTTAAATTCCTTCTGGAGTTTATTTCTTTTCCCTTCCTTTTCTTGTCATTTGCAAATGCTTTCTCTGTGTACTGTCGAGCCATTTACCCATGTTAGATTTAATTAGGTCCATTAGATTTTTAAATAGTAATTACCACTCAATTACTTTGAATCATACCCTCTTAATAAAGATGTGCCTTGAAAAGAGATTATCAACTTAAATTCATGTAGTAGCCTTAAGAAAACTTGCATTTAGCAATGCTTCTTGTAATGTGTTACATATAGCAATGATACTAAATAGATGAAGTTTAAGAATTTTGCCTTGATGAGTTGATTATTCCCATTCATTCCTTGTTAAAAGCCACATGGGTAATTTCCATTCAGTTTGTTGGCAACTCTAAATACCAAGCCTAATTCAGGAGAACTCCCTTTTCCCTCTAACCTGTCAACATTAATTCCTGCATTCTCAGTTGACATTGGCCTCAGCACCTAACCTCAGACTATCACCAACCATCAGGGCTGTTTGAAAGTTTTAGCTATCTGCTTCTCTCCCTCAATGACATTGTCTTGTCACCAGTTCAGACTAAGACAGTTCATCTGAAGTGCCTGAAGAAAAGATGCGAAGTGGTGGACTGATGGGTTAAACTCCTTTTATTCACCTGCTTCGTGGACAAGTGCATCTGTTTAGCTGTTCCCGAGGCCTCCCACCTCTATACACGCCCATTCCCACCTCAGCCAGCCCATTCTTGCAAAAGTCTTCGGCTTCTTAGTCTACCCCAGCCCTCATGTCAGTGTATATTTGTATCAAAATACACAATAGTGCCCATATAAGTTACCCTTACACGGGCTAGCATTGACGTTGGTTATATTAGGTATTTACACCGAGACCGAAGAGGTGTGCTTGCACCAGGATTATGCTGACTTGGACTTAAAGTCCACCAGAAATCATTCTCCTCCAAGCCTGAACCAAAATGCAGCCATCTTAGGCTTCATTTTTCCCTATAGACATCCCCACATCTTAATGATGATAATGGGTACCATCTAATGAGTATTTGCTAGGGTCTGGGCATTTCACATTCCTCATTCCTAACTGTTATCTTGAGCTAACCCACTAAAAATATTTGTTAAAATATTTGCCCTAGATACTAGAGGCATAGCCAAATAGGTACAAAATCTCTACGCAATAGTTGAGGAAAGTGGGAGGAATAATGAGACTAGTCCAAGGCCTTGCAGTGCACACATACAGACAAAGCACAGATCTGACTGGCACCACGCTTGGCTCAGCTCCCCGCCCCGACCGCTACGGGTTGGAACTGCTGTCTGATTTGGCTGGGATGTTTGAAAACCCATTCAACTCTCAAGGTTAGGGCATAAGGTTACCAAAAGAGTCAGAAATTAAAAGACAGTTTAGGAATAAGGTTGAAAAACAGAAAACTCACAATTACTCAGAACACGGCTTCTACTATTAGTAATTAAATGTTTCAATTTTTAAAACTTTAGGAGTTTAAGGCACATACAAGACGTAGAGCAAAAGAGGTGATGCATTTCAAAGTGAATACATTCAAATAGAATTAACCACAGTCCTAGGTGCATCCTTTCTGCTTTAATCTCTGATGTGTACGTCAAATGAAAGCATGCTAAATTTTCAGTTACGTGCTGGTATTAATATGTTTCCGTCTTTCATCTCACATAGAACTGAACAGAAAGGGCTCAGTAGATGTTCTTGATGGCTGAGAGCTGGACATTTAAATGACCTGGGACAGGAGGTAATTTTGCTTTCATTTGTTTTCTGTGTCAAGAATTTTAGGTTTCTGAAACCTTGTAGGAGTCAGAAAGTTTCATGTTAATAATGTAAAAGTAATACATTTCTGGGGAGCAATTTTACAATTTGTTTTGAATATTTAAGTGTGCATTTTGAGCAAAAGGCAAATAGACAAAGTTAATCGCATAAGAATGTTCATTACACATTGATTATAAGAAAGAACTGGAAAAAAACTACATAAGTAGTCATCAATTATGCACATTCATGAAGATACTGCATGAAAATCACTGTGTATATATATGCATTTATATGTAAAGATTTTTTTTTTTTTTGTACCGGGGATTGACCTCAGGTCCTTGCACTTGCAAGGCAGGCCACCGAACCGCTGAGCTAAGTCCCGGCCTTATGTAAAGATTTTTTAAAAGGTTGTAAATCCCACTTTTAAAAGGTTGAGCATGTGTCTGTATGAGTGTGTGATCAGTAAATAACAAAACATTAACTGCAATTATCACCAAGTAGCAGAATTAAGGAGGACTTTTCACTTTATTGTAAATTTCTGTATTATCTGAAAATTCTTCTTTTGCTCTCTTTTATTGTCATTTCCCAGTTAGATCACCCAATCCCTACCTCCTCCTGTGCAGCAGACACATGCACTCTGACAATTCTACTGATGTGTTTTATGTAAATCTTATAGTTTGTGTGTACTCCTACTGGGATGGTTAATTTTAGATATAATTTTAATTGCTTTTGCTCCTCTACAGAACCTTTAGCAGTATACATACAAAATGTATCTTTGTGTTTCTTGTCCACATATTTCAAATTTACTCACTATCACATCTTGTTTCCTACTTGTTTTATACCTAGTTTTATGTTTTTAGATCTATGTTGCTATGTGTACATCTAGTCGAGTGGTCAGAACCATTGAAGTTTTTTTCATAGTATAGGTACTGTAAACTGTAAGAATAAGCTTTGCTACTTTCACAATCAGACAAAGTCCATTAAGGATACATGAACTGTGAAGAAAGAAGAGAAAGAAAATAACCTTTTTTCTAATACAAAATCATACATAAAGTTATAAATTATACATAATTTTGCCAATGGAATTATTCAAATGGAGAAATATTTATTACATTGGACATTCCATTTTACTAAGAACCTCTACATTAATAAAGTGTTCAGATGTGTGAAACTTTTATAAATAAAGAAAATTCAAAGAGAAAAGTGAATATTTCTTCCTATGTAAACTCTGAAATGCTTATTTTAGGAGACAAAAATTTCAAAAGACAAAGTTATTTTGAAAGTGGAAAGTAGTGAACTTATTACTGTGTGTTCTCACTATATATTAAAAATGAAATTAATATCATTTAAAATAAAAGAAATATGACATTGAAATGCAAACAGAAATTAAGGAAAATCCCAAAAGGATAGGAAATGGTTGATGGACAGCACGAGAAAATGAAAAGACAGAGGAAGCAATAAAGCCTGCTGGGAAAAACTGAAAATTTATATATTGAAAGTTCATAATTTTTTACATAAAAATCTAATAATAACTGCTAATCCCTTTCTTTTCTTTAAACTTTAATTTAAGGATTAAAAATAGAACTTCAAGAATAACTTTATGCAGTCATAGCTTTCATAAGACAGCTGCCAAATATCTCCAGTAAAGATTTATGTTTAACTTTCAAGTTTTTCTTCAAAACAATGTCATATTCCTAGATGAGGTGTAAAAAAATCACATATAACTGTATGTTATGAAGGAAAAACGGCAAGATGAGAGTCATATTTCAAAGCAGACGTTACTGAAGTACTATAATTTCAGAAAAGGTTACAAAGAACTGTGTTTCTTCTCTTTCCTATTAGGCTAGTTTTCTCTGACAACAGTAGAAAAGCTTGAGAACACAGTACTGGTAGACAACATGAAGTAACCTTACTAAGAGTATTTTGTTGAAAATAGATATTACTTTTTCCCCCACTGTCCAGAATATTTCACTTCAGAAAGAAGTTACTGACCTAAGAAAGATAAACAAACAGACTTCGAGGATCTAGAGGCAGGTAAGAAAAACAACTACAGTACAGAAGTTTAAATGTGAAAATAAAAAAACAAAATAGTTATCTGAAGATTCAGGTCCAGTTGGAAGAAGGAATGCTTACTAACTCTGACAGATGGCCCGCCATGGGGAAAGGCCAGGCATGTGACCAGATAATCTAGGGAGAAGGTCACAGTCATTTCCCTCCTTTGGAAATGGAGTTAAACTAGAAACCAAAACTGTAGGATATGTCTTGGCTCTGAGACATCTTGAATTTGTCTTAGGTTCTCCAGTCAAAATCCCCTAAAGATAAAACAAAACAAAACAAAACAAAAACTGAATTTTGGACAATTTGATGTAGTTTTAAAAAGGTAGTCAGCATTTTATTCATTTCAGAATGAAATAGCACAATAACATATTTGTTTTGCTAAGAATTTTTAAATCCCAAAAGCTCAAGCTTTGCAACCTTTGACTATTTAGCCTCCTTGTACATGGAAAAAAAATACATAATAAGGGAATTCACCTCATAGGATTATTGAAAAATTAATCTAAATAAGTCTTCTAAAGGGCTTAGGATAAGTTATGGCCCATAGCACATATTCAGCAAATGTCCACTGGTGCTGGAAGGAGTTTTTAGGGAAGAAAGAGAGGCTCTATGTACCATTTGAGCATCTCTTTGCCTGGGACTCACAGCTGAATTTTTATACCAATTGAGTTAGCATGTTGTAATGGTTTTGATCGATCATATTCCATGTGAAGACGACATTATTTACCACTAGTATTAGGACATGAGACTTTCTGTAGATCTATCACAGATCACAATGTAATACAATCTCAGGCCACAAATTTAAGTATACAAAAAAATGCTAAGTTTTAAGTTCTAGTTCAAGTTTTCATGCCAATGGCTGTTAGAAAACAATCTCCATTCACTCAAGGCTCTCTTGCCTGTACTGATATTAATCTCAAATGACACAATCCTGACAGATTAAAATTCCAAATGTTGACATTTTGAAATTAACTTGAGGAATTTCATTGAGGAGAGGAGGCAGAATATACAAGAGGTAGAAAGTCTAATTCTAAGAACAGAATGAGATATGCTATACAGAGATGAAAAAAGATTAGTTTAAAAATATATCATTTGTAGCTGGGCATGGTGGCACATGCCTGTGATCCCAGAACTCAGGAGTTTGAGGTCAACCTGGGCTACACAGTGAGTTTAAGGCCAGCCTGAACTACACAGTGAGACCATGTCTCAAAAAAAATTGCTTATTTTATTACATACAGTTGCCTTTGAATTATTCTATCATATTTTTATGTTTTTCAAGTAAATCCCTTTAAAATGTAAATAAATGACAAATACATATATTTGGTGTACATTGGCATTCCTTGAGCTGGTACAATTCCAGGAGCCTTTAAAGAAAGAATTAAAGCTGCATTTTCCTGAAGAAGCTAATAAATGGTGTTGCTGCTTCATCACCAACGTTTCTGCCAGATCAGTGGTCTGTATACAAATATGGAATGGATTTCTGCATATCCAAAACAGCATGGAAGTGAAGATGAGAAAATTTAGCTCGTGTCGGTGTATACTGAATCATTAAAGAATTTCCCAAAGAGCAGCACCATGTAGAAACTGAGTGTAAATGCATTCTTGGAGCAGAGCTGTGTCCTAAGAAAAAAAGGAACCATTCTTTGTGATGCAAGACACAAATAAAGTTGACGATGAAAGCAGCTCTTAAAGGCATCCTGTATACAACTGCCCATCAACTATCTTGGCAGTACTTTTTTATATATATTTTTTTTTTTTTTAGATTTTTTTGGTTTGTTTTCTTTCTTTTTTAAAAGTTTCTCCCCACTGTGGTTGTGTGTGTGTGGGGGGGTGTTTTACTGGGGATCGAACCCATGTCTTTGCACTGAGCCCAGCCCCTTTTTTATTTTCTATTTTGAGGTAAGTTCTAAGTACTTAAATTGCTCAGCTCGGCTCAAACTTGTGATCTTCCTGCCTGAGCCTACAAGAGTGCTGGATTTACACCTACTTCTTACCATTTCAAATCGTTAATATTATTTTTTACAATTTGAACTGTTATGATTTCATTTTTGTATCATTTCCAATACTGTAGGTATGAACTGTGTAAATATTTTCAAAGTTCTAATTCATTTCATGTATTGTTTGTAAATTTGACTCCAAAAAAGTGCATTATCACAATGTTGACTTGTGTATATAAGCATTGTGTATGCAAACATGTCAAAACTTTCTTAGTAAATGAGATGGTTTTTTTGTAAATCTGCATTTGTAAAAGATAAAATTTCTCCAGACCGTGACTTTTTGGATATCTGCATATGTAGTGTTAGGCCCATGGCAGTTTTTTTTCAGTCTGATTAAAAGACTTCAGTTGTCTGTCATGGAATTTCAGATCATTGGCTATAAAGCTGAGTGTACACAATTATCACAATAGTAATATGTGTTTATATATTTCACTTTTTTGACCACTTTATGAATATGGCTCATCTGATCATAATTTTACACCAGTGCAACTGTCATTAGTATACCTGAATGTTTATGCTTGCAAAAAATATGTAATTTTTATTGTTTATTTTATTACATACAGTTGCCTTTGAATCATTCTACCATATTTTTATGTTTCTCAAATAAATCCCTTTAAAAATGTAAATAAATGGCAAAGAATTTCTAAAGTTATATTTTTTAACCTGGGCATGGTGGTACACACCTGTAATCCCATCACTCAGGAGGCAGAGGCAGGAGGATTGTGATGAGTTCAAGTCCAGCCTGAGTTGCATAGAGTTCAAGGCTAGAATAAACTACATAGCAAGACACTGCACACACACACACACACACACACACACACACACAAACACACAGAGTTATTTTTTTTTTAAGACTTACATTTTTGGGCTTTTGACATTTCTGGAGTATAGACTTTAGAGAGTTTGATCTTTTGGGTTTCAGCATTTGAGATTA